GTGTTTATGTAGAGGCACAGGCTGGATTTAGGTCAAATATGGAACCGTTGACAACGTTTTTGTATTGCATGGCTTAATTACACATTTGATTAATCAGGGGAGGCAACTTTTTTGTGCATTTATTGATTTCACCAAAGCTTTTGATTATGTTGTAAGGGATAACTTATGGTTTAAACTGATTAAACTTGGAATTCGTGGTAATATTTTAAATATAATGAAATCAATGTACGACTCAGTCAAATCAAGAATTAAATATTGTAATAAGTTAAGTAATAGCTATGAATGTTCACTAGGCGTACGCCAAGGAGAGTGTTTGTCTCCCTTTCTTTTTTCTATGTTTTTAAACGATTTAGAAGATTGTTTCTTTCATAATGACTTGGAAGGAATAGATGTTAATATGTTTAAAATGTTTTTTAATTTTATATGCGGACGACATTGTTATTTTTGCTAATAGTAGTGATGAATTACAAAAAGGTTTAAATTGCCTGGCTGATTATTGTGATAGGTGGAAACTTACAGTAAATACAGTTAAAACGAAAATTATGATATTTAAAAGAGGCGGTAGATTGCCAGATAACTTAGTTTTTTATTATAAAGATAATACTATTGATATTGTTAATAATTTCACTTATTTAGGTTTAGTATTCACAACGGGTGGTTCGTTCACAGAAGCACAGAACACCATTGCTGGACAAGCAATGAAAGCAACTTTTAAAATGGATAAGTATTTGTGTAAATTTGTTAACATTTCACTTACCCATAGATTAGAACTATTTGATAAACTTATAATGCCTATTTTGAATTATGGTAGCGAGGTTTGGGGGTTTATTCAAGGTAATAGTGTAGAACGAGTACATATGCAATTTTGTAAACGGATTCTTGGTGTCAAAAAAGTTACTCAAAACGATTTTGTATATGGTGAACTAGGTAGAATATCATTAAAATCAGTACGTTATTACAATATTGTAAAATTTTGGTTAAAGATATTGCATACAAATGAAAATAAATATGTGAAGAAAGTTTATACATTACTGAAAAACGATTTTGAAAATTTTCCCAACAAAACAAACTGGTGTTCACTTGTAAAACATCTTCTGTGTGATTTAGGTTTTTATGATGCTTGGTTAATGCAAAGTGTGGGAAACTCTGATTACTTTTTATGTATTGTAAAACAAAGATTAACAGATCAATTCGTACAGAATTGGTCGTGTAGATTAGATAACTCGAGTAGAGCTCTGTTTTATAAACAAATATCCGACTTTAAATTTCAACCATACCTTAATTTTATTCATGTGAAAAGATTCTGTAGTAGTGTAACTAAATTAAGAGTATCATCTCATAGGCTTCATATTGAGACTGGTAGATGGACTAAACCCCATAGTACACCATTTAATGAAAGAACTTGTTTTTGTTGTAACGTCCTAGAGGACGAATTTCATTTTGTACTGGAATGTAAATTATATAGTGATATAAGAAAACGTTTAATACCTACTTACTATTGGAAAAGACCAAATATGTTAAAACTCATAGACTTATTAAATACGGAAAACATTTGTGTAGCACGTAAGTTTGGTAAATATGTGCATAGCGCTTTTGAAATTAGAAAAGAGAAGTTGTATACAAATCGTAATCAATCTTCGTGATGTCAATAAATGTAACGTTTATAGTATATTTATTTTGTATGTATATATGTGTATGTATGTATATGTATGTGTATATGTATATGATTCCATATATACATGATAGCAAATTTTAAAGTTTTCAAAAAATTACTCCACGACTCTTCTTTAGAATAATAATTTAGTGTCACGATGTAATTCATACGACTATACTTTACAGAGTTATATTGTTGTATTCTTTTTAACTCAGCATTAGTTTTCGAGCATTTAAAGAATATCTCTCTTCAAGCTGTATGTTGATCTTGTGTTTCGTTTTCGATAAGATCAGGATACTTACAGTATGCAAATTCCTATCTAAAATATTTAAGACTCATAATTTATGTTGGTCTTGTGTTTCGTTTTGACAAGATCAGGATATGACTAGTATGTAAGGACTCATATATCTAACATACATAGTTATTTTGTGACAAGAAAGAGCAGGGGTAGTTTATAGAATACAACACATACATAATTTTGTAAACATTTAGATATTATTAGAAATAGATTATTAATATACTAAGATATTTCAACATGCAAATGAATGTAAACCTTCTCCGTTGTTGTTTAAAACTTGTTTGAAATTTATTTTTGTACACTGTCTTGCCATATATATATATTGTATTGTGTATCCACACGGGCCATGTGGCCTTATGGAATTTGAAAAATAAACTTATCAAACTTATCAATTGAAATGTACGTTACTTGTTGTTGATGTTAATGTACGTGAGAAATCATTGTTTTGTAGACCTTTATAGTTCATACACAATGCACATTTGAGTGTGCAGATGCTTGAGAAAAGATTAAAAATGTTCAATATCATCACAACTGTTCAACTTAAACAACCACATATTGTACTAGTCCCAACTTTTGTAGATAGAAAAAAATGCCTGAATAAAATTCATATGCAACTGATGAAAATACAGTTATATTTAATTTGTTTTCGTTTCTTATCATCCTATTCTTACTTGGTATTACAAGAAAAACATATTCATGAAGTATTTTTTAAGAATTTAGGAGATACTCGTCATTGAAATTACTAATACTAGTTTTGAAATGTACGTTACCAACAGTAACGTACATTTCATGGTCCTTTTTAGCAGAAATATACTTTCCACTACTACCTTTAGTTTACATTGCGAAAAAAAAACATGCTATCACATTTCAAAATCCAGCAGAATGTTTTCAGTAGATATATGTTTATATACATAAAATGTTTTCTAATATATATTGTGATATCGTATATCAAACATGAATTTACCTTAAATTATATCCATAGTGACACAATGCAATATTTATATATAGGCTTTGATGTTACAAAACTCTTCTCTTTATATAAATTTTCTTACCTAAGGTATCATATTTTAAGTGAAGTGAATATTTTTTAAATTGCGGTAACGTTCGTTTCGGTAACGTACATTTCTGACCACTTTTCAATGCAGATCTGGACATCGTCTTGGGCAATTATAACAATTTCTCAACACATAACTTCTTATTGAGGGAAGCTTTAACTGCTTGACACAAGTCTACCTCTTTACATTTTCATCAGTTCCTGTAGCATCAGTAACGTACGTTTCACGGCAAAAATTACGTTTTAATTTTCTCAGAAAATCATCTATCAATTACGGCATCTTTATATACCACTTTTATAATACATTATTTTGGCCAATATGGCCAATTATCTGCCAGTAAACTTCAAACTTTGAAAGATCTTATTTTTGAAAGATCTTATTTTTGAAAAAAATATTTTCTTGGCTGTTTAAAAACGCACAATCCAAAAGGCATGTATCAGTGGAAAGGAAAAAACAACAAATTTGTTTACATTTTTATCATAGTTTTCAGTATGTTCCACTGTTGAATTCACGCTAAGGCATTGTGAGATACAAAAAACACTAAACAATTGTTTTATAAAAGACCAATTGAAACATGAAAATATTTAAAGCTCATTTTTCTTATAGAGACAGTCACGTACGTTTCATTTTTTACTATTGTGCGATAAATATTTTTTCAAATCATGATAGTTGACTACTTTTTTTGTTTTGATTTAATTAAAACAGAACATGTTTGATGGAACAGATGCTTTAAATAAAATATATAGCACATAATATGACGAATATGCTGCGTGGAAAGCGTTTTTATCTATTCTGTAAATGATATTGAGAATGCGTGCTAACCTTTCACGCCGAATTAATGAGGCTATGTCAACAGTTGCCGCGTACACAAAACATATGATGGGAAGACGTCAAACAATATGACAAAACAGCCAAACATCTGGATGATTTCAGATAAAATACGTACGTTATTTCAACCGGGTATCTTATTTACGTCCAACATTACGGTAACCACAACGTTAATTGTAATATTTCGGAAATATACATACATGCATCCCAAGTGCAAAAAGGGCGTATGGGTGTATATACTGAATCATTTTCAGAAACAATTCCATGTTCCTCGAAACGAGGCTCTTATTTCATGAAATAGCACAGTATAATTATAAGTTCTTGATTTCTATATAAGGAACGGGGAGTCTTTTTTACGTTTGAAATTATGATAGAAAACAATTAGAATCTATGTCTGTAAGCGCTCAAATACACTCACACAACTGGTGTTCGAAAGGCTTGCACAAGAAAATGGTGTTTTATTTTATGAACAATAGATCTACTAGTGCATTTTATATAGAAAAAGAACGAATCACCCGCCCAAACAAACGACCATGCCACTCGGAAATCTCAAGACCAAAATATGTACGCTTTTGCAATTATTGCATATTTTCTGAAAGTAGTGTATCTCAGATGAATTTTAAAAATCGGTAATTTTTCTGTGACAGTGACCATTGTTGCATAAGCATTTGCAGACGTTCCTTGCCAAAACTGTCCACATGAAAAGTCAGTATGACCCCGAGATCCAGATCTTAATATAAATCCGTGGAGGAGGTGACAAATCAAACATTGAAATGTATTGTTTTCCGATTCAGTAAGAAACACTCATAAATTCTTATCAGGAACAGAAGATAACTTTCTGTCCCAGGTTCTGATCGTAAATCTTTCAGTATAATTGACGAATAGTTGCTTGGATTGTAAGTGCCAATTGCAATATGTGAAATACTTTATTCACAATATTTTACTTTTAAATATATTTCCAAAATTTTTATGAAAATTAACATGAATCTGGAGGTGTGCTGCTTTAAAATTTCTTGCATAAGATTTCACTCGCTTGGAGTGTAATATTACTCGTGTATTCCGACTTTTTTCGCCAGGTAATAATACCTGTCAAGGACTTGATCTATATCTATATGCATCGCAATGTTTTCATATGACAGCACACAGGAGACATGGCTGTCAGAAACTAAGATTTATGCGCATAAGTTGATGATATCATAAACTGCTCATGTACGAAATGTTTGAGAACTGGTTGGGTGTGAGAATATAATGGATGTTTCAACATATTTTTTTCAATTAATTTTTAGAATGAGTAGAATTATGAGAGCGAATCAAAGGATTAAGATACAGTTACTTCCCTTTATTTACCAGAAAGAAGACACCATTTGTATAATTCAACCTAAGCGCAATTACGCATGTGAACGGCAACAGCCTTCTTCGAGGTAAGAAAATTTACGCAAAATATACTCTTTTATGCATTTAATTACTTTTATGCATTAAATCTCTTTTTTGTTGGTTACAGGACGTTGGTCAATCATTTGTTGTCTAATTATGGGCATACCACAGGAACTTGAAATTCTATCAAATAACCAATATTAATGATAATATCCAAATATACCCCCTATATACTATAAATGTATATTAATACTGTATAGGGGGTATATTTTGGATAGTATCATTAATATTGATAGAATTTCAAGTTCCTGTGGGCATACACACTGATAGGGCTAGCTCAGTAATCACAGGAACCTGAAATTCTATCCAAAACCAAAAAAAAATAACGATTTAATAAAAAATCCCATACATATACTATAAAAAAACTTTTTTTATAGTATATGTATGGGATTTTTTTTTAATCGTTATTTTTTTTTGTTTTGGATAGAATTTCAGGTTCCTGTGCAATAATAAATAAATGCAATGATGAAGACAGTAACTTGCACTTCTTAATTTATTACATTTCACAAAACAAACTAAGCTATACATTTTACTGTTTATTACGCGTGATGTTTGGCCATTTATATAGATTTCTAATTCATGACAAGATATCACCTTTAAAGACGTTTTCGGGAGTTTTCATATAGACAAATAGGCAAAATTAAATCAATAGAATTTCTTTAAACTTGGCATGTTGTTAGAATATGATAACAGAAACATTTTAAGCGAAAAAAAAAATTGGGGTCACTGTTCTTGCTTTTGAGTTATCTGCCCTTGAATTTGACTTTTTTGTTAAATTCAAGGGCAGATAATTTACAGTGAAGGGAATAAATACATTTTTTACTAATTTTCAAGAAGCTTGCCTTCATTTTAGTTTATATGCAAAATTTCAAGAACAAATTTAGAGTGGGTAGTTTTTATTCCCACTTAGTTTTTATTCCCACTTCTTCTTTTAACCTGTGCATTTTTTCATAAAAAAATGGCCAATTAATTAAGAATTTAAAGTACCTTTATTTTCATTGAAAAAAACCCAAACGAAAACGATGTAAGGAATTGCATATTATTACTTATTGTTCTCAACAATTAAAAGAAAAACATAATCCGGAAGTAAAAACAATAATTCATTTAAGTATGTATAAGTTATCTGCCCTTGAAATGACCTCAAATACGTAGAAAAGTCTGATTCAGGGGCAGATAACTCAAGAACAAGAACGGTGACACCAATTTTTTTTTATTGTAACCCTATAATCCATCATAAACTCTCTAACCCTTATTACCCTAACCTATATCATATTTGCAGTACATATTTAACATATTCTTGGATGTTTGGATATTGTTTTAGAAGAATAAAAATATACATAAAATAAAAGTTCACTTAAGTGTTACAAGTTACATCCTGAATTACAGCATACAGGATCTTTAAAGTTTCAAAATGCCAAAGAGTAAATGGCTCAAGCTAATTAAAGTTGGTGGCTTTATTGATGTTGTTTGAGTAACACTTGCACAGATATAGAATTATTTCCAGTCAATTCATCTGTTCGGGTTTCCGTTGCTTATTTACTTTGATACAACATTCATATCAATCCTACAAAACAAACAAACAACAACACAAGCATACACAAAAAAAATGAATTTGAAGAAACAAATTATGAATCACACTTACTGATTTGAAAACATATTTCATATTTTGTAATTTCTTCCTAATTGTTTTGGTCTAAATTAAGCCCTGGGGTTCCGAGTTGCTCAAAATATTGGTTGCTAAACAGAAAATAAAATGGGTGACACTTTGGTAATATTAAAGGTCAGGTAAACTATGTCACTTTTGTTTTATTAATGGTGACCTTTAAGTTATTGAAAATGGAAACTATATCCCTTTTTTTTTTATAAAAACTTGCACCAAATTTGATAGTACATGACTTGTATTAGACAATTTTTTTCACAGAAAATTAATCTGAAACTTGTAATAATATTTATCTAAAATCTTTTCAAGTTTTCCTGTTGTTATTGTTTAATATTTAATGGTTATTTCCCAATCAACCTTAGGTACATAATGGTGATTTCCCAATCAACACTGACTGTGCAGGCAAATTTAAGAAAGGAATATTAATCAAAATGATTTAATTACAATAGTAATGTTGATAAGATAGCAGGCCCTGACATTTCCTGCTATCTTTGTGTAAGTGTAACAATCATTTTATCTCTTTTTGTAATCATAATTAAGTACTAATTAAAAAGTTTCATATCCTCTCACTGGCCTCAGGATAAAAAAATGGCAGGACCAACCTGTATATAAGAAAATACAAAACATTTCAGAGCAGTCATATTTCAGCTTTGACTGCAGGAATGAACTATTCTTTAAATTTATAAATTGGAATACATGTAGTTTTCAATTTTTCATTTTCCTTATTAAACAGGTATTTGTCTTTTTACATTTACAATTTATTTTTGTTTAACCTTTTATTTCTCAGCATATTTTTGTTTAACCTTTTATTTCTCAGCATATTTTTTTATCCTTTTATTTCTTTCGATTTCTATTTTTTAAATAAAAACACATGTAAGTATTTTTAATCCTCTGATAAGTCTAGCATGTGATGATGCAAGTGATTACTAGTATTTCTAATCCTGCTGAATGTATGCTAATTCTTTAAAAAGCAAATAAGGATTATTTTTATGATTTTAAGAATTATTACCATTTCATTTTATTTGTAATTATGCATTTCAATTTTGGAATGCATATCTTTGTTTTGCATTAAAGGCCCATTATGCCTCAGAAATGCTATCATTTTTATTTATTTCTCAAAAACATTTTACTTTTGGTACCTTGTTACTAGGGGTGTAACAATACAGCAAAAACCGTATTGCAATATATTGCCATTTTGCCGAAGCATATTGCAATATTTTGCAATACGTATTGTCGTGTAAATCAGGAGTAAATGACTCCCAAACTTCCATTAATGGAAGCCCTGCCCCCAGCCTATCCCCAAAACTCTCTAGTATAATATAATAATATGTTGTATTTTGTCTATTTTAAGATAAAGAGCACAGAAACACCCAGTCAGATGATATAATGACACCAGGAACAAAAAGATGAACATCTACACCTGACACACAAGAATGAACAAATGAAGTGACGATTCATTAACTTTATTCTACTTTCCCTAAGGCATCTTGTGATAATTACAAGTCTCACACGAACAAATTTTTAGGTAAAACTTACTCTCAATTGTTGCAAAAAAAAAAAAAAAAACAACAGAAAAGTATTTTTACATAGTAAAAAAGAAACAATTTCATTAAAGGGACTCCATTGAGTTTTATCTTACTTAGTTAGAAAAGAAACACTCTCATTAAAGGGACTCAACTGAGGTTCATTTTACCTAGGAAAAAGAAACACTATCATTATAGGGACCCCACTGAGTTTAATTTACTTAGTAAAAAGAAACTCTTTCATTAAAGAGACTCCAATGAGGTTTACCTTACTTAATAAATAGAAACACTTTCATTAAAGGGACTCCACTGAGGTATTTTTTACTAAGTAAAAAGAAACACTTTCATTAAAGGGACTCCACTGAGGATTATCGTACTTAGTAAAAAGAAATTTTATATAAAAGGGACAAAGGGACTCCACTGAGTTTTTTGACATGAAGGGACTCAGGGCTTTTTTTCCTTCTATAACAGAGGCCGATATCAGGCCCCTTCACAATTCAAAATTGCACTTTTTTTCACAAAGTGGCAGAAAAAAATTCACAATTTCAAAAGAAATTTCACAAAATATTTGGACTTTGTCTTTGAAATACATTGATTACCTTCAGGTAAAACATGATTTACGCCAATCTCAAGAACACAGTTATAGTTTTAATCAAGTTAAATGGTTTTAGCACAATGTTAAGTGGGTTAAAGTACTAACTTGAAGCAGATTTTCTGGTTTCATAATGTCGCTAAATGCCAAATACTATGTAATTTTTTTCACAATTTTATGACAAATCGCGCTTTTTTTCACAAAATGAAAGGTCCAGGCCCCTTCACAATTTTGACAAAAAATGCCCTGGGACAGAAAATATTTTTTCAACACTTTTGTATTACTGTATGAGGGTCTGAGCCAATAACTTGTGTGCAAAATTTTAGATCATTGTTTACTCAGCTTGCATGGTATAATCAATTTTATTGCACAAATTGACCCAAAAATGAAAAGCATTGCAATGCTTCTTACTCAAATTGGACGAAAAAATGCATAAAAATCGATTATAAATTTAGTGCTGAGTATATTCACTTATTTATTCACTTATTACATGTATCTATTGCATAGTTTTCTGTTTTAAGTGCACCAATTGATTTTAAAAAAAATTACAAATTTTATTATTTTGGCTATATGACCTCAGTGGAGATCTTAGTTAACATGTAGATTTACCAAACCAGTTTTAAACTGAAAAAGTGGTGGGGCTCAAGATCTTTTTGTAATGAAGAAAGCACTGTCTATTATAGAGGTAGAAATAAGTCTACAGATGTTTCTTAAATCAAAATTTCACCATTTCCATGTTTAAATGTTAAATTATGCTTAAGTGGGTGCTTAGTTGGCCTGGGTGGCAATTGACAGTACCGTCCTTGAACAGGCTCAATCAAACAAAGCCTGTTGCATTTTTAATTTTGTTGTTTTGGATTTCGTAACGGATTCTTTTTTTTCTTTATTTTCAGTTTTGAAGTGTTAGAGATACCTGTTTAACCATAGTGCCCATTGGTGGCATAGTAGAGGGCTCAAAAATGGATGGCCTAGAAGAAAGTTCTAAAATGGATGGCCCAGAAGAAGGTGTGAAAATGGATTGTCTAGAAAAGAATGTAAAACTTCTTGGCACAGAAAAGAGAGAGAAGAGGATTTTTTTTTGTGAAACATGTGGAAAAGGTTTTGAATATAAAAGTCAACTTACGTGTCACGTTCCAACTCACTTAGATAAAAGTTCTCGCCCATATAAATGTGAATTCTGCCCCTGTTCTTATGTTACACCAGGGAGATTAAAAGCTCATAGGATCACGCATACAGGAGTTATCCCACTTGATTGTGTCTACTGTAAAAAAACATACACCGATAAAGCAGAATTCATACAGCATATGAAACTGCATAATCATGAAAAGAAATATTTTTGTACTCTTTGTGACAAAAGGTTTAATAACAGTTATCATCTAACAAGACATTATAAGAGTCATTATGGTTCCAGAGATCATACTTGTGATATTTGTGGAACAAGTTTTATATTCAAGGACTATTTACAAAAACATATAAACATGGTTCACCATAAAGCTGATAGAAAAGTTTGTAAGTTATGTAATAAAACATTTTCCTGCAATCATTCCTTGAACCTCCACATGCTGCGTCATAGTTCAGGGAAAGAATACTTGTGTGATCTGTGCGGGAAAATTTTTATGACTTACCAGGAGATGCACGTGCATGTATTGAGGCACGTGTCTGTGGAAGTTTTCCCTTGCAAAGTATGTGATAAGTCATTTTTAGGACGTCATTATTTAAAGAGACATCTTAAAATTCATTCAGCAAGAGTGCAAGAATTTCAGTGCGATGTTTGTGGTAAAGCATTTATGTCACATGATCAACTTAAAAGGCATATAGAACTGCATTCTGGTAAAGAGGACGCAAAATGTAAAGTCTGTGGTAAATGTTTCAAGAAACAATATTTAAGCAGGCATATGAAAATCCATTTTGAGGGGCGACACAAGTGTGATGTTTGTGGAAAAGTGTTTCGTAACTATGCAGATTTAACGAGGCACATGACTATACATACTGGAGAGAAACCCCACGTTTGTGAATATTGTAACAGGGGATTCAGTTGCTATACGAACTTGTTGAGGCACAAGAAATATAAACATAGTCAGGTAAAAGATTATATATGCAATGTTTGTGATAGAAAATTTAAAACAAAGGTAGACCTTCATAAGCATGAACAGACGAAGCTGCATAAACGAACAATAATCTTGCTTGGTAAAAATACATAGACTAAGCTTAATGGAAGAACTGTCATTGATTAAGTGTAAAGCATATCAATGATATACTGTAAAATTCCTAATAAACGCCACCTCCCCTAATAAGTGCTGAAATCCAAAATTTCATTCAAATCATTCAGAATCAATTTTATTCTATAGTATGAACTTTAAAATCTTAACACTTTTTAATGTTTTCACCATCACTTGCTAACACTAAATGTATTTACAATGATTTTGGATTTAGGAAAAACTGTGTTGTTATAAAAGCCCCCCTTTTGGAAAATGTTTAGCCCCCGGGGGCGTTTAATAGGAATTTTACGGTATTGATGATAATTTTATACCAGGCTGGATTTGAAAGAACAATCTTTTCATGCCAGGGCTTTTTTCCTTCTATAACAGGTGCCGATATAAGTCCCCTTCACAATTCAAAATTGCACTTTTTTTCACAAAGCGGCAGAAAAAAATTCACAATTTCAAAAGAGATTCACAAAATATTGGGACTTTTTCTTCGAAATACATTGTTTACCTTCCGGTAAAACTTGATATACGCCAATTGCAATAACACAGAAATAGTTTTAAATGGTATTTGCACATGTTGACCGGGTTAATGTACCTACTTAAAGCAGATCTTACACAGGTCAGAAATTATAATCAACCGTTTCCGGTTTCAAAATGTCGCAAAATGCCAAGTAATATGTCTTTTTTCACAATTTTATGACCTATCGTGCTTTTTTCACAAAATGAACAATCATAATTTTGACAAAAATGCCCTGCATGCTGTAGACTTAGGATTTTAGCTCAGCTGGCACAAAGTGACAGTGAGCTTTTCAGAATCACTCACTGTCTGTTGTACAGCATACAAGTCCATTGTACATATAAAATTATGTGTATTTTCAATTATTTTCCTTACTCAGACTTTTCACTTGGCAAATGCAGATGAAACTTGTCAAGAACTTTTCTTGCATGAAGCTCTGTTCAGTTTGATTAAAATAATTAAAATTTCATATAAGGCTCTGATTTAAAGTTTCCTCTGTTGGAAATCCGCAAGGCCTACAACTTTATTAGATCATTTTTAGGTGAACCTTTGTATAGGAAAACATTTAAATATCCTTTATCTTACGGTCAGATCTGGGGTGTTTGTGGCTGAGTGGTTAAGGTTGTTGACTTCAAACCACTTGCCCCTCACCGCTGTGGGTTCGAATCCCGTTCATTCGTGTGAGGAAGCTTAGTAAAATCCAGCTAGCTTATGGGACGTCGGTGGTTCTACTAATTTGATTATCCTGGTCTTAAGGCGACCAGAACTGGTTACATTTAGCACGACAATTATGATTTCCGCACTTTGTTTGGTGAAATTTGCTACACACTCTCGAGTAAGTTAGAGACAGTAATGAAAGTGATTTGTTTTTTGTTTTTAGGGATTCTTTATTTCTCTTTTTCAACAATTTTATTGTTGGTTGAGTATTATTTCTTAAATCCGTTATTTATCATAAAATGTCTTTTAAAGTAATATGACTATCCGTAATGTTATATTGGCAAGCGTGAACAGCAAGTTCACAGTGGTTTTGCTCAATTGGACAGCTTGCTTATCTTATTTAATAAGGCTAGTTGATGGGGACAATCGATCGTGCATTCATATGTTGATTATTAATTGGTTCTTCCTGACGTGCTACCAAATACTTTAAACTGGTTCGTCCACTTCCTGATTTGATATATTATGTGTAACAATAAATTAACTTCTGTGTCTGAATCTGAACTCAAGCTCTTGTCTTTAATTTACCTAACTCTAGACATGATAAGGATTACCAGACAAGTTTAACAAAATAAAAATACTACTTCTACAACTTTCATTTTTACTAATTTCTCCACTAAATACTTTAGTAGCCTCACTTTAATTCCTGCAAATACAAGAAGTGTATATTTACGTTTTTTTCCTCATTTGTGTTAAATTTCGGCAATTAATGCGAATCTGGCCTTGCTTCCAGCAAGTCCCACATTCCTATTTTGATCTACGAACTCCCTGCTCTCTATCGTGCTTCATCCTCATTTAGTCCCTATTAACAGGACAATATTTTGGCGAATGTCCGATTGAATTACAAAGATTGCAAATCTGCCCCAGTCTTTAAAGTTTGTCAAATATTCAGTGCCCCTCTTAAAAATTCAAGTATACTGTCCAGCTGTCGGTTCACAAAATCATTGCCATACTGAAAGGTCTAAGTCAGACTTCAACCCAGGACAGTGAGAGGCAATTAGTATGAGGTCACTGACCTTAACCATTCTGCCATAAAGACAACACTTCAATGTGCTGTTGATACAAAACGCTCATGAACCATGTTTTACATTATAACTGTGTAAAATAATAATAATAATAAAAACAATAATAATAATAATAATGATAATAATAATAATAATAATAATAATAATAATCATAATAATAATAATCATAATAATAATAATCATAATATTAATAAAAAAACAATTGCTAACATTTCTATATATTTAATACATTAATAATTATATGATACAATAATAATAATAATAATAATAATAATGATAATAATAATAATAATAATGATAATAATAATAATAATAATAATAATAATTATCAATAATAATGATAATAACATATGTTTCCTAGACTGTATTTTGATTGAAATATAATTGATTAATTAGTTTGATAAAAACGTTTGTTCAATCTTTCTTTACATACGTACTATGAACAAAGACATTCAGACTCGTACATGTTGTCTCGAATAGTCACACATGTGGCTAGTCACACATGTGGCGTGCAAATCGTTGTTCTCTTTTAGCTCATTTTCATTAAATAGTTTTCTTAATTTGTTTTCACTCGTTCTTTCCATTGGGTAAATAGCGGACCTTACTATGCCTTTTATCGAACTTTTCCGCAATGTTGATAATTTCATCATCTCCTATCGTCGTTACAGCTGATTACCACATCTCGTTTACACGGTCTTCTAAAGGGGCTAGACACCCACCATATCCAATGTGATATTTCTGCGAGCAATTATCCCATGAACATCCTTCACATACATCCGTAGTTGCTCCACATTTCATTTATTTTATTGCGGAGAAGACCAACTTATACTGTCTGTAATAAATCATTCATTCCTTTCATGTTCGTTTTTGTAACATTGAGCAATCGTTTCAATTCTTTAGACAATTATTTCGCTTCTGTTAACGATAATTGAATGCCATCTTTGGTGTACGAATATCTGTTTTCTTTCTTCTTCATGCATTTCCTTATTTGTCAATTTCTTCGGCTTTGTGCCCATTCTCTTTAAGAAACAGTATGAGCTGGTAGTCTGGCTCATTCTTGATGGCTACTGGTAAAATATTCACGGGTATATCTACCATTTTACTGTTTTTCTTCCCTTTGTATCTTTTAACTAAAGATAACACAAACGGCCTTTTGATTACCATTCACTGCATAACGATGTCTCCTTTAACTAAAGATAACACAAACGGCCTTTTGGTTACCATTCCATGCATAACGATGTCTCCTAGTCCTATCGACTTTTCCCTGTTTTTGGTTTCCTTCGTTACGATAGCCAAAAAGTCGGTGACATTATCAAATCTCAACGACACATTTATTCTCTCTATTAACCAACAGGTTTCGAATTCAACGTCTTCTTTGATTATTATTATCGCCATCATCAAACAGTTTCAGCCTTTTACCCTCTACCATATCATCATATGATTCTCTCGTGTCTGCTATGTGTTTTGTTGGCATTATGTTTAGGTGTTCTGTAATTTTAAATATTAAGTCATGAAATTTCCTTTTTTTGTCTAAATAATATAGTATAATTATTTGTTCAACTAACACACAAAATACATGTTCTGAACTTACTATTTGTTTATTTTTATCACATGCACACACAATTATTACAAAAACACAGACTTTTATCTGTAGTTATAAGATCGTCTATCAACTCGACCCAACAACCTCTTCGATCTTAATTGTCTTAGATCAGACATTGATAGTGAAGACAAGTTTTGTTCAATTTCACATTGTGATAGATATCCACATTTCCTTATAATGTTTTCGTAGCATTATAATTTCAGGGAGATAGGACAACTTGACAATGTTCGTTGTCGCAGGATTTTATTTATTATCGAAACAAAGTCTAATACTGTAAACACATTCTTCAATTGAATATTCGAAAACATTTTCACGCAATTTATTCATCCGCCTCCGTGGTCGAGGGGTTTGAGTCGATGACTTCTAATCCAGTTACCTCTCTGGCGTGGGTTCGATCCCCGGGAGATGCTTTGGTAGTTGAGCGCGGAGGAAGGTAGTCTAGTACTGGTGTAACTCTCCAGGAACGATAGTTAGGAAACTTCCCACCTATATGACTGAAATACTGTTGGAAAAAGGCGTAAAATGAAACAAACAAACAAACAAAATCCTTATGCATGAAAGTACCTCAGAATCCTGTATTTCCTATAAATTTCATAAGTTATGCCGCTATACGTTTTGAAGATGCATTATCCCCTTCCCTGAGTACTTTAGTCACTAGCTCACCAAATTCTTTGAAGCAATACATTTTATCAAATGGTATTTCTGTTGAAATAATCAAAATAGCTCACCAGAACCGAAGGTTTGGGGTGAGCTATTAGTATCAAAGGGAGATGCTCCGGCGTCCGTCGTCCATCATCATGCGTAAACAATCGTCTTCTTCTCTAAAACTGCTGGGCAGATTTACCTCAAATTTGGTCTGTAGCATCCTTGTGACAGTCACACTTAAATTTGCTCATGTCATTTCAATTGGCCCCTTTAAGGAGTCAACAGAGCTAAAAATAAAAAAAATCTTTAAATATCTTCTATTACAGAACTAATTGATGGATGATCCCAAAACTTTGTCTGTAGCATTCTTGGGTATTCTTTTATCAAGTTTGCTCATATTAGATTTATTGGCCCCTTTTAGGGGTCTCTAGGGCTAAAAATAGAAAACCTTTAGACATCTTCTTCTACAGAACTAATGGGTGGATGGTCACCAAACCTTGTCTCTAGCATTCTTGGGTAGTCTTTTATTAAGTTTGCTTATATTAATTTGAATGGCTACTTTTAGGGGCCGCTAGAGCTTAAAATAGAAAAAAACCTTTATATGTCTGCTTCTACAGAACTAATTGATCACCAAACTGTGTCTGTAGCATTCTTAGGAAGTCTTTTTATCAAGTTTGCTCATATTAATTTGGATTGGCCCCTCTTAGGGGCTAATAAAGCTAAAAATAGAAATACATTTAAACATCTTCTTGTACAGAACTAATTGATGGATGATCACCAAATTTTGTCTAAAACATCCTTGGGTAGTCTTTTATCAATTTGCTCATATTAATTTGATTAGCCTCTTTTAGGCGCCGCTAAGGCTAAAATAGAAAAAAATCGTTGAACATCATTTTCTACTGATATAATTTATGGATGATCACCAAACTTTGTCTGTAGCATTCTTAGGTAGTGTTTTATCAAGTTTGTTCA